CTTGGCCCTTGCCATCTGATGCTGTAGCCTGGCCTGGCCTGGCCTGGCTTGCCCCCAGTCCCAACTCTTGCTGGTGGGTGCTGCAGCCTAGCCCTGCCTAGCCTTCCTCCCACATTCCTGGCTTTCATGCAAACCAGTACCAGTAGGTGTGATAGCCTAGCCTAGCTCAGCATGGCCCACATCCCATCCTGGCTCCTGCACATGCCAGTGTGCTATAGTTTGGCCTGGTCCTGACTATTCTACCCCCTACAGAGCCAACCCACACATCTGCCAACAAGTGAGGCAGCCCTGGCCAGCCTGACCAATACCCAGTCCCGACTCACATGCTCACCCTAAGGAGCTATGCCTCATCAGGGGAGTTCCCAAAGTTCCCCCACCCAGCCCACTCCCAGACTCAGATCTCACACTTGCCAGATGGTCCTAGGCCCTCATCCAGCATTATACTCCTTAGTGTTGGCCTTTGTGTGTGCTGGTGGATTTGTGGCCTGGCCTGCTGCCCTACATGCAATTTTTAGGTGAGTTTCCTGGTGCTGCAACCTGGACCAGCCTGGCCTATTCCCAGCCTCAGTGCCCATGAGTGTTTAAGTTCTGTGGTCATGCCTAGCTCAGCCCGTTACCACTCCCAGCCCTCAAGCAAACCAATCAGTATAGAAGTCCCATGGGGTGAGCCTATGGTCCCCCCATCATAATCTGCTCCCAGGTGCAGTTGTTTCATGAGTTGGTTAGTATCATGGTCCAGCCTAACATGGTCAACCCCCTACCCCAATCAATGTACACTGGCAGGTACTACCGACAAGCCCTGCCAAGCAGGCCCCACAACTATGGCTTTCTTGTGTGCTGATAGGTGATAATTGATACCAACAATCCCAGCTCAGGTTTCCCACGTGGGAGGGTGCATTGATTTGGCCCCCAAAGGTCCTCCAGTTTCCCTCCTCTATACCATCTTGTCTCAGCCGCCTCATTTACCTGCAAGTGTAGTAACCAGGTTGGTGGAAGTCCCCCAGAAGTCACTCCTCACCTGTCACATTCTCCCTCAGCAGTCCTCCCTCCCACACATCTCCCGGCCTGCTTTCCTGAGCAATCCACAGCCTCCTATGCCTGGTCCTCTGGCAGTGTGCTCTGCAAACCTGGGGACCTGCCTGCCTACTCAAGGACCACACATACTGGACTGTGGGTCCACAGACCCTATTTGTTGTCGTGTGGCATCTGCCTCCCCCACATATCTTTTTTAAAAAAAGCAATAGAATAGGCATCTATGCTGGCGCACATTAACCAGGCCCAGGATGCCCGCTAAATATTAGCTAGCTTTCTCCTAGTGGTGTAACACTTGCCTAGGTACAGTGCAACAATCTAGGCCACTGTCTACAGTTGGGGTAGATTTTTTTCTGACTATCTTTAAAATTCAGGCCTATGATCCATTTTACTTAATTTTTACCTATTCTATTTGATTTATTTTCCTATTCATTCCCTCTTAATAATTATCTTGGGGCTGGTGTGGTGGTAAAGCATGATAATTGGGCTGCTGGTCCCAACATTCCATTTGGGCTGGTTCATATCCCAGCTACTCCAGTTGCAATCTAGCTCTCTGCTTGTGGCCTGGGAAAACACCGGAGGATGACCCAAGTCCTTGAGTCCCTGCACCCACATGAGAGACCAGGAGGAAGCTCCTGGATTCTGGCTTTGGGTTAACGCATCGTTGGCCATTGTGGCCATTTGGGGAGTGAATCAATGAATGGAAGACCTCTGTCTGTCTCTCATTCTGTTTAAAATCTGCCTTTTAAGTAAAAATAAATAAGTCTTTTTAAAAGTAATACTGACACTTTCTTAAGTAATTATATATTTGTGGGTTCTATTTCCGTATTCTGTTCCTTTATTTTGTTTATCTGTCTTGTTTTCAATGATACACTGTCTTGTTTATTATAGATTTATAATAGATTAATAACTGGTGTCATGAATCTTGTGCTTTTTCTGTTCTTCAGGATTGCCTTGGCATTTTAAGTTACTCAAGTTTCCATTGAAGTTTTGAATAAGTTGGTTAATTTCCATAAAATAACCAACTAGGGCTTTTATTGGACTTATTTTGATTCTCTAGTTGAATTTAGGTAAAATGAATGGCTTAGTGTTTAATCTCATAATATATTGATACTAATGTCTTCATCTGTTTTTGCGGTTTTTAATTTTGGCTTTACAAGATTGTATAGGTTTCCTGTAGCAGTCTTGAACACATTTCATTAGATTTGCTACTATGTATTTGGTGAGTTTTGTTGCTATTGTAAATGGTTTTAAAAAACATTGTTTCATGTTTGCTACACCAAACACAAAAAGACATGATGAATAAAAGATATGAATGTAAAAGGAAACAAAATTTTCCAGAAAATAAAATGACATTTTTATTACCTCAAGATTCAGGTCCTGATGTAGTACCCTAGGAGCTAAAGACCTCACGTGACTGCACCAGGATCCCATATGGGTGCTGGTTCATGTTTCAACTACTCCACTTGCCATCCAGCTCCCTACTTGTGGCCTGGGAAAGCAGTTGAGGATGGCCCAAAGCCTTGGGACCCTGCACCCATGTGGGAGACCTGAAAGAGGCTCCTGGTTTCTGGCTTCAGATCAGCGTAGCTCTGTCCATTGCAGCCACTTGAGGAGTGGATCAGCAGATGGAGGATTTTCCTTTCTCTATTGCTCCTCTCTGTATATCTGACTTTTCAATAAAATAAATAAATTAAATTAAATCTTTTTTTAAAAGACTCAGAGGAGTATCTTTTTAAAACTGTGAAAATGATAAACTATAAAAACCAATGAACTTTTGTTTATTTTTTAAAGATTTATTTATTTTTACTATAAAGTCAGATATATTTAGCAAGGAGGAAAGACAGAAAGGAAGGTCTTCTGTCTGATAATTTACTCTCCAATGGGTGGAGCTGTGCCGATCTGAAGCCAGGAGTCAGGAACTCTTCTGGGTACAGGGTCCCAAGACCTTGGGTAATCCTTGACTGATTTCTCAGGCTACAAGCAGGGAACTGGCTGGGAAACGGGACTGCTGGGATTAAAACTGGTGCCCATATAGGATCCTGGCACATTCAAAGTGAGGGCTTTAGCCACTAGACCACTGTGCCAGGCCCACATTTATCTTTATTAAAGCTAATTTTTAGTAACGGAAACACCATTGCAAATGAAAAGACAAATGCAACCTATGGAGTCACTTTGTACACAGCTGTATGGAACAGGATGGAACCTGTGCGTCTTGACAGTCACATCAAAGGAACACGTGTAGGAAGAAAGTGTGGGGGATGAAATCAGTAATCAATCAGCAGCTGGTAACTAAAAAATTATCTCGGAACCAAGCTTGTAAATTGTGATGATTAAAAGCTTTTGCTGCCCATTAAAATGTGATATTACCAAGAACTAGAATACATTTGAAACATCAGAAATGTGACATTGATTGTGGGTGTTTGGTAATACCTTTCATGCATTTGCTAAAAGGTTTTTTTTTTTTATCATGAATGGATGTTGAATTTTGTCTTAACAATTTTTTCTGCTTCTATTTAAGTGGATGTGAGTTTTTTTTTTTCCATTAATGTGGCAATTTTCAGTTTTAGACTACCTTAAAATGACTAGAATAAATTACTTCTCTTCCTTCCTACCTCCCTCCCTTTCTTCCTTTCTTCTATAATTTGTTGTAATTTCAAACTAATTAGGAAAGGAAAGGGCTTGTTGCAACAGCGCAATGGCTAAATCTTGGCCTTGTACATGCTGGGATTCCATATGAACACTGGTTTGTGTCCCAGCTGCTCCACTTCCATCCAGCTCCCTGCTTGTGGCCGGGGAAAGCAGTAAGGGACAGCCTAAAGCCCTGGGACCCTGCACCACCACGGGAGACCCAGAAGAAGCTCCTGGATCCTACTTTGGATCAGCTCAGCTCTGGCTATTGCAACCACTTGCAGAGTGCACCAACAGATGGAAGATCTTGGTCTCTGTCTCTCTTTTTCAATGTAAATCTGCCTTTCCAATAAAAATTAATAATTCTCTAAAATCAAAAAAAGATGAAAAGGTAGTATGAGAAACCCCTATTAAATCTTATCCAGATTATTATTTTATCACATTTACTTGCCCATTTTTGCCCCTTCTCTTTGTTTTTGAACATGCACACTTTTTTTTGATTGCTTGAGAATAAGTAATAGGCATCAAGTTCTTTTACCTCCAAATGTGCTAGGCTAGACTTTGCAGCACTGCAGGTTAAGCTGTTGCTGGGATACCCCCAACCAGAATTGGAGTGCTTAGGGTAGAGTCATGTTTGCATGTCCAGCTTCCTGGGAAGCAGCACATGATGGCTCAGGATATGAACTAACAAATAGAAGATGTCCTCTTATTTTGCTTTTTCAGGAAGAATGTGTACATTATAAATTTTCTGGATCTTTTTATATATAAAAATATGTATGTTCATCCTTAAACCTTGATTATACTGTCACTAGATACAGAACTCCCAGTTTAAATTTTTTGATTATTTATAAGTTATTGATCCTAATGATAATGTTTTAAAATATATATTGCTTATATTTTAGAACAATGATTATTATTGTTTGGGTCATTTTCATTGTGATTGGCACTCAGTAGACCCTTTCAATGTAAAGTAATACATTATTTTATAAGTTTTTACTTATAAACCCATCCCATGTGCTGTATAAGACAATACAAAGACGCAGTAAGTTGTGGCAGAACTCCCCTGCCAAGGGGTTTGTATTGTAATATATGCAGTCTATCCAATAAGCAGGCCTAACCTCTCACATTAGCATATTGTGAGCTCTCAATGTAAGTTCTCTATTTTGCATCTCTTTAGTCATTTGAATGTTTCTAGGGTTAGAAGGAGCCCTCACCATGTGTTTATCTAGGTTAAGACTCCAGGCTCCAGGGCCTGGAAGTTTGTACAGATCAGGGAGTAGGGCTGGTCTACTCTCCATCCTCTGTCTCCAATGAGCTCCTGCTCTCTACACCAACAGGTTCATGATGACACGTACCACATGCAACAGGGCCTGCAGGAGCGAGTGCAGAACTGCAACCGGATCCGGATAGGCCAAGGCTCCATCTACCTTCAGAGGGTACAGCGCCAACAGCTGGAGAAGAAGCTGAAACAAGCAGAGATCTGGTTGCTGCAAATGGGAAAGTTTGCCCGTTTGGTCAACTACCTGATTTGTCAGAGCCTTGTTTCTATCTTGGAAGATGAGATTACTTCTTTTGTGTCCAACATCCTGCAAGTAAGGTGGTGGGTGGGGTGTGTAGATGTGGGTGGCATTCAAGGAACAAATTAAGGGTATACACCGAAGTCTGTCCCACAATCTCTTCCCACCCTTCTTTGATAGGCTCCAAGGCAGAAACCCTTTCTCCTGTCCCAACTTGTCTTTAATGATCGCGGCCAGCTGTCTCATGTGCCTTGTGGTGAAAATATGATCCGGATTCTAACTGAGGGTCTACACTCTATCAAGGCCTCTGCTCTGCAGGTATTGTGTGCTGGATAGGGGACAAGCTGGAGAAATTCCCAGTTCCTAATCTCTGAGTAATGAGAAGCTGTTGGCCCAGTTTGACATGCTTGGTATCCTCTCACTTGCACCCCTTCTTTTCCCTGAAGGTGATCAAGACTAAAGACCTGAAGACTCCCAAAGATTCTCTGCCTTCTGGAGGTATTTAAGGAGACCTTGGCAAGACTAGGAAGGGGGAAGAATGTGTGTAGAGTGTGAATGACATGAGAAGCCAGCAGCAGGTCCCAGCCGTAGAGTCAAACCCTGGGCTGGAATGTAGCAGCTGGAACTTGAGTATTGCACACGGTGTGTTGGGGCTGTGAGTGGTGGGAGTGCTATTGCTCACTGATTCACAGTCATGTGTATGTGTGTGCCGTGACGCGATGTAGAAGAGTGTAGACATGTTGTCTTTTCCCTGGTTCATCTGCAACTCGGTGAGGTTTTTCTTCCTTCAGTGTCATGATTTCATTTGTCTACTGTTGAATCCGATGGCTAATCTTCAATAGTTTGAGGGACTCTACTTGCTGAATATTTGCTTTACCCCAGTCTTTTTTCCCCCTGCTTGTGTCATAGAAATTCTGTTGAAAATGTAAAGTATGAACGGTACACCAGGAAGAGGAAGTGCAGAGGGAAGCAGTGTGGCAGCGAGTCAGTTTACAGTTGAAAAGGAGGGAGAGGGTTTTCTCCCTTGCCACTTTAAGGACCTGTGAAGCGATGGAGAGCTGTATGGTGGCTGACAGGAGCTTTGCTCGGTGTGAAACATCTGATTCACACTTTCAAGGAAGCTGGTAGTAAAGAGTTCTGTTTCTTCTAGCCTTTTCAAAGTTTGGATTGATACTTAAAAGTGCAACTCTGGAAGTTTAAATGCATTCTACTGAGATTGATAGATATGTAAATATAATTCATATTTGATTTAACATATAATTTATATATATTTAAACTGAAACCCCAAATCCCTCAGAAATGAGATATAGCTTATGTTTCTTTGATTTAGTAGGCAAAAAATATGTTATCATAAGGAACTTCATTTCACTCTTATTTTGGCCTTGAATGTGTTGGTGATTTCTGCTTCATTTTGTTGGATATGTCTTTTACCGATTTGCCTTAATATAGAATCACTTTTCTTTCTATTGCTTGAAATCACACTTGAATTGACTTTGTGTCTCATCATACTGCCTAAGTGGTGTCATTGATCTTGGCACCTTGAGTCGTGTTTTTAAATCTTGTCTTGTATTTTGGAGCTTTCAAACTGAAAGTTGTTGAATTCAAAAGCAGAAATGAAGCAGGTGCATTAGGTGCATCAAAAACAAATCAAATCAAAGCTAAAAAGTAAAAAAGAGCTCCCATTTCTCTTTCTTCCTTCTTCTTTCTTTCTTTCTTTCTCTCTTTCTTTCCTTCTTTCTCTCTTAAAAAATTATTTCATGGATTTGAAACACAGTTACAGAGAGAAAGAGTGATCCTCCATCTGCTGGTTCACTGCCCAAATGATCTGAGTGACTGGGAGTGGGCCAGGCCAAAGCCAGGAGCCCGGAGCTGCATCTGAATTTCCCACATGGGTGCAGGGCTCAAACACCTGGTTATCTTCTGCTACTTTCCCGAGCACATTTTCTGGGAGCGAAATTGAAAGCTGACCAATTTGGGCCCAGCGTAGTAGCCTAGTGGCGAAAGTCCTCATCTTGCATGTGCTGGGGTCCCATATGGGTACTGGTTTATATCCTGCCTGCTCCATTTCTCTTCCAGCTCCCTGCTTGTGGCCTGGGAAAGCAATGGAGGACGGCCTAAAGCCTGGGGACTCTATGCCCGTGTGGAGGACTTGAAAGAAGCTCCTGGCTTCAGATCAGATTAGCTCTGGTCATTGCAGCCACTTTGGGAGTGACTAGGTGGATGGAAGATCTTTGTTTCTGTCTCTCCTTCTCTGTAAACCTGCCTTTCCAATAAAAATAAATAAAAATTTAAAAAGAAGGACCCACATTAAAAAGAAGAAGAAAGTGGAACAGCTAAGGCTTCAGCCAGTGGTTAAGCTGCTATGCCACAATGCCAGCTGCACGAGTTTCCACTTCTTAAGTTACCGCGGTTCTTCCATCTCTGTTCTCTGCATCTTCCCAAGAACCTGGCTCTTGAGGTCATTGTGTTTCCTTTGTACTGTCTTCTCCTTTATAACTTCTTTTAAATGACTTGAAATGCTTTATGACACCAACTCCTTTCCTTTACTCTGCATGTTCGTTCAGTTGTGTTTTCCTGTATGTGAGATTGCTTTATTTCACATTCTCAAGACTAGGGTAGTGACTGATTCAGCCTTTCCTGCAGATTGAATTACAGACATATAAACTATGGCAAGGAGAATGAGTCATGGTGCAAATTAACTTGTTGTAGCTAGAGATAATGACAGATCCTGTTGGAAAGGCATGTGTGGTGCAGAATGTTGCATTTCTTTTGCTATACTTACGCTTTAATCTATGTATCCCTTAGGCCCAAGTATGTGGGTTGGTTTTGGATTCCATATTCGTAACTCAGAAATGAGTAAGCAAAAAAATGAACTTATTATTGACTCGTATTAACAAGAAATTGGTAGGTAGGGCTGGATTCAGCCACAGTGGCTTAAACAATAAAAGAGAGAATGAGGGAGGTGCTACCAAGATTGGTTTGCTGCGTAACAGTGACATCTAAGCCACGCCTCCTCGTTCTTGCTTTTACCTTCAGGAAAGAGTAAGTCCTCTGAGGAGGATGTGTATGGTGGCGGAGGCTGCATGCAGTGCTTTTTCATGCCCTGTCTTTGTCTCATAGTTGCAAGACATGGCTGCACTCCCCAGCAGCTGATATTCAGTCAAAATCATGGAGTAAAGAAGAGGAAGGTTAATCAAAAACTCTATTCCTGACCCTAATATTTTTTTCGACCAGGAAAGGAAATTTTTTTTTTTTCTTAAACTTCCTAGCGTACTCACTTTTACACCTTATTGTCAAAAATCTAGATTGAGCGGCTACCTTTAGCTGCAAGAAAGACTGGAAGTCAAATGGCTGATGGCCATTTGTGGAAGATGGGCTCTACCATCACAGGCACAGGATCCAGGGCAAAGCAGCTGTGCAGCCAACCAACATGGCTGGGTTCCATTCTTCAGATAGGCTGCCTCCACTTGGCACGCAAGAGAGGCCTGGGCCTTCTCTACAAAGTCATCTCGTACCACTCTTTTCCCTTCCAGCTCTCCTTTAAGCTTAGTTCTGCAGGTAACATTGTTTAAGCTCACCTCTGTCTTTATGCTGATGACTTTCTATTACTTTTGTTTCTCCTAAGTTCATTCTCTAGTAGTAGGTTCCTCAGCAAGGACTTATGCAACCAGAATTCTTAAGCTCTTCTATGTCGATAATAATTTGCACCTTCTGAGAGTTTAGTGTAGCCAGATTTGGAGTAATTGACTCGTGCATTTTTCTTTGTCTATCTTGAGTATGTTACCCCATTTTCTTTGGGAGTTTTGATTTACTATCAAAAAGTCTAATGATAATTTAATTTTGCTTTCCTTACAAAGTTACTATTTTTTTTGCCTAGAGTCTTTATTTTTTAAGTCCAATGATTTGAATAAATTATGCCTTCATATTTAACATTCCAGGGCATGATTCTCAATAATATTCTTTCAAAAGGGACTTTTAGATATTTTTTTCTTCTCAAGACAGTTTTTGCATTTTTTAAGAAATAGCTTTAATTAGAATGTAGTTCTAATTAAATATAGGCAAAATAATTGTTTATTTTGAATCATACAATTTATTTTAAATCACACAATTCACTTTCTAAAATATACAATCCAATTTTTTGTCTGCTTTCAAAGTTGCATGACCATCACTACAATCATATTAAGAACATTTTCATCACCTAGGGAAAAATTATTTATTTTTACTTTTCATTGTTGTTGAAAAGGCAGCTTTACAGAGAGAAGAAGACAGAAAGTTCTCTCATGCTGGTTCACTCTCCAGATGGCCAGAGGTGAGACGATCTGGAGCCAGGAGCCAGGAGCTTCTTCCAGGTCTCCCATGTAGGTACTGGTTCCCCAGGCTTTGATCCATCTTCAACTGCTTTCCCAGACCACAAGCAGGGAGCTGGATGGGAAGTGGAGCAGCCAAGACTAACTGGTGCCTGTATGGGATCCTGGCGCTTGGAAGTAGAAGATTAGCCATTTGAGCTATCACATTAGTCCTGGAAATAATATTAGCAGTCATTCTCCATTTCTCTTCTTTCAGTTGTTTGTATTGTAAAACAAAACAACAACAGCAAGAAAAAAAGCTTTTCTTAGCTTTCCAAAGAAGGCCACTCCAAATAGTGTCTGACCTCCCAGGTTTGCTCTCCATTGTTTTTCTGCGCTGGTGAAGAAACTGTGGCTAGTTGGTCGGGTTGTCCTGGCTTCTGTCCTTCCTCCAGCTTCATCTGGGTCTTTTCTTTGTCTCTGTTGCTTCCATGCTACTGAGCCTTCACTTGTTAGCAGTATTTTCTAAGTGTCAGGCTTTGCCCCAATAGGGCTCCTTGTTGGTATCAAGAGTTCATAGAACAAAGAGTGCCTAAGCTCCTGCAGACCTTACCTCACCCGCTACTGGAACAGATAATACCCCTTCTGCTTCTGCCTGCCCTGCGCACACAAGCCCTCCACTTTATGGTAAAAACCTTTGGCTATTTGTTATTAGATCTGTTCAGTGCCTCACTTCCCTCTTCTCCCTGTCTCATAAATACTGATCACGGAGCTGGAGGCTGGAGGTGGTTAGAGTTTAGGACTTGCAGTGATTTCTGTCCCTGTTTTGGTGAAAACACTATCATCGGGTTTTTGGCTTTGCTATCTAATGGGAGTTTGGGGGGTATTTCAAAACTGTGCTGCCACTACCATCATCTCAGAATCAATTCAGGCATTTTTAATGGATTGTTCTGTTAGGTTTTTTATTTACTTAAGAGTCAGAACAACAAAGAGAGGTCTTCTGTCTGTTGGTTCACTCCCCAAATACTTGTAACAGTGAGACCAGACCAAGCCAAAGTCAGGAGCCTGGAATGCTGTTTGGGTCTCTCACGTGGGTGGTAGGAACCAAGCTAATCGATCAGCTGATGTCTTCCAGGGTGCACATTATCAGGCAGCTGGGTCAGAAACAAAGAAGGACTTGCACCTGGACACCCTGACATAGGTTGTTCATGTGCCAAGCAGTATCTTAACTGTTGCACAATACCTGCCCCTCTTGTTCGTGTGTGGAACAGAGATTATAGCTTTAAAGGCAAGGGACAAAGTGGGGACAAAAGTTAGAAGGTTATTGTAGTAACACAGTGGAGAGATGATGGTGGTTTGGGCTGGGCGGGGGGGGAAGCAAGGTACTCATAGATGTGGTAAGAATTAATTGGATTCTGGATATAGTTCAAATGTAGAGTTAGGGTGATTTTGTCATGACTGGGTGTCTTATGTGTGAAAAAGTATTGAAAGATGACTAATAAACATTTTGACCAGAGGTATATGGTATAGCGGATAAACCAACCAGCTGCAAAACTGACATCCCATATGGGTGTAGATTCATGACCTGGTTGCTACACTTCCAATTCAGCTCCCTTTAATGGCTTGATGCCTGGGAAAGGCAGTGAAGGATAACTCAGTTGCTTAGATGCCTGCCACTCAACGTGGGAGACCTTGAAGTAGCTCCTGGCTCCTGGCTTTGACTTGGGCCAGCGCTAGCCATTGTGGCTGTCTAGGGAGTAAATCTGGAGATGGAAGATCTCTCTATTCCTCTGTAACTCTGACTTTTGAATGAATGGATGAAAAAAAAATAAGTAAACCTCTTTTTAAAAAAAGATTTTAAGGGGTCAGTGCCGTGGCATGGTAGATTAAGCTTCTCCCTGTGATGCTGGCATCGCATATAGCACTGGTTTGTGTCCAAGCTGCTCCACTTCTAATCCAGTTCTCTGCTTATGACCTGGGGAAACAGCAGATGATGGCTGAAATCCTTGGACCCTGTAGCTATGTGGGAGATCTGGTAGAAACTCCTGGCATCTGGCTTCACGTTGGCTCAGTTGAAGCATCTGTGGCTCTTTGGGGAGTGAGCTAGTAGATGGAAGATATCTCTCTCCTGCCCCCGTAACTTTTTCAAATGGGTTTTGACTGGAAGAATGGAGTTCCCACTTACTGAAGTTAGAAGACAAGAAGGAATAAAAGGCAAAGATGGGGTAGGGAGAGGGAAATCAGAGCCAATTTTGGGCCCTGTTGAATCTGAGAGCATAGCATAAATACAAGTAGACATGCGGAGTAGGCAGTTTTTTTTTAACTGGAATTAAAATTCAACATGGAATATGAACAGCTGATAAATTTAAGAGCAAAAGAGTGATGATACCTAGAGTCGGAAATCTGGGTGAGATGTCCTGTGACATGGAGGAGGGATCAGAGGTCTGAGCCCTGGCAAAGCCATATGGTGTAGAGTAATGTGGATATGATTTCTCAACATCTCTGTGCAACGTTTTAACACAAAAACAAAGTGACACTGAACCAATTCCTAAATATTTCAGGCCAGGTTCAAGGGTATTTCTTCAGGCAGATTCTGAGAATTGGTCATGTCAATAAAATTTCCTACCTCCTACTGTGTTCTGCTGTAAATGATATTGGCCTGGTACCCCCTGCAGCTGGGTGTCGTGTGCAATCTATGCTGCACCCGTCAGATCTACATGAGACTTGAGTTTGGAGTTGAGGGTGGGGGATGGAGGTGGAGCACATCCTAGTCATTGTGCAGATGACAGCAGAGACAGTGTGGTTTGTCACTGATAGTGTGGCAGTGACATCCCAGTGTGCCAGGCAGCACAGTGTCCTAGTTGCCCAGTCTAGTTTTTTTCTTTATTTTTCAGCTCTCTGATCATTCTACAGTTCAGTTAAGATTTTGTAAGAATTCTCACTTCTCTTCCTGCATATGCCAGCTACAGAAGATGATGCTTTCTGCATCGAAACCCCTAAGCCTCCATGGGTCTGGTGTATGGTTGTGATATAGATATGTGTGGGAACTCCCTTGTGCATGTGGGGCTGTATGTGTGTGTAAGATGAAACTTGCATGTGCACTTTGGAAGAAGCTCATGGACAATCATGGCATTTGTTCCACTAGAAGAAGAAGAGGAGGAGGAAGATACAGAATTTCTGGTACCCAAGTTCCAGAGCCAGCCCAGCGATGCAGTACGCATCTTTTGTGGCCCAAATGTAGGATTGGTGTGGCCGTGGAAAGCTCACTCAATTAATGATAATTTGGTAGTCCGTGGGTGCAAGCTTCGGGGCCATTATTGGCCCACCAATTATAAGCAGCTACAGGAGGACCTGGACAACAATCGTGGAATCCAGCAGGCACTGGCTACGCAGCAGGCACTGCTGGAGGTAAGAGCAGAGGTGAAGGCAGGGATGCTGCCTACCAACTCCCATCACAGATGTCCACCTCCAGTGCTAGCACCTTTTCTCCTCTCAGGGCATGCTGTGGGAGGTGCAGGAATTCTGCAAGGAGCATCACTGGATAACAGATATTTATGAGTTTGTACAAGCCTGGGGACCTCAGAAACTGGAGGGCATGAAAGACTGTCCTGTCAAGAATTATGTGATGCTGGTGAGTCACCTGAACGCGTGGCAGGCCCGTGTCTCCACGATGCCTGTCGAATTGCTCACAAAAGGCAAGCTGCTGCTGCTGAGCTGCAATGATGTGCAGGAAGAGTTAAGTAAGTGCCATTCATCTTTCAGTGCTCTTTTTCCTTCCTTCTTTGTTGTGCCAATCTACCCAGCCTGGAATGTCCTCTTGGGCCCTGTTGGACCCTGTTGGACCTCCCAAAGCCCCCAGGTCACAGCTCTTCTATTTTCCAACAAAGGGGATAATTCCTAAGGAGACACCCTGTCTGGTTGAATCTGCTTATTCCCTATATTCCTTAGGCATCCTGTTCCTATGGCCTGGCGTTTCCTATTCCTGTAAAATAGAAGTAATTAAAACCAAATGCAACAGCTCCTAGGGATACTGAGCTCAGTCTCTTTGCAGAGATTCTCATGCAACAGAATGAGAAATTACACCAGAAATTGCATGTGTGAAAAATTACTGTCGGCAGGTGGTGAAAGATGAACATAACTTTCTGGATTAAAGCAGCTATGTTTGGTCTAGCTCGGTCTATTTTGAGTATTTGGTCAGTTATAAATTTATGCTTCTGATTTCTTATTCTCCAGTGTCCTCCTATTCCATTTTCCTTCCCAAAGGGCCTGGCACTAGAGAAGGCCCCTGTGTCTGAGCTCTTTGCTTGCTTCTGAGGTCGAGGGCACTCTGACCAGTTGGCTGCCTTCTGCTGCTGATGGGTCCTGGGCTGGTGCAGCCTGAGGTGTGTGCCTTTGGCCTAGTGGCAGGCCAAAGGGGCTTCCTTTACTGACTCTGTGCTGCCATGGCTCCTGGCATGGAAGACTCTTGGGCTTTTGGTGAATCCTCCATCCAGTCTCTGTCCCTAACTCTATCCAGCCCACCGCAAATCCTTTTCAATCTTCTGCTTCCTAATATTCTCTCAAGTCTATTTTCCCATCCATCTTCAGCTTCCCTTCCATTGCATTTTTTGTGCCATATGGTGTCGCTGTTGCACTCTTATCTGGCTTAACTGCTCCCAAAACAGCGGTAATGGCCTCACTTCTAGAGGGGTCATTTGAGAAAGAACAGGTACACATCTTTGTGTTCTGTTCAATCCTGATAGGTTCCCTCAATAGAATTTTTTCAGTTTCAGCTGTTGGTACCCCGTTCTCTGTTACTTCCTCCAAGGCTCTGAAAGGACCATACACAGAATGCCATGATCATCCGTCCAGGCATTGTTTGTTTCACTTTTCAGTTGCGGAGATGCTAATAGGGGTTAGGCCGACTTACTTTTCATATAACATTGTGTGTGCGCACGCTCACTTTTGTGTGTGTGTGTGTGTGTGTGTGTGTGTGTAGGGAGGGGAGACTTGAAAAAGTCCATGGGAAATGGAAGAATTCAAGGACAATCTTATTGTTAAAATCAATTTGAAATCCATGTATAGCTTTTTCATAACACATACTTTCAGTGAGCTTTTTAGATACTCTCTTTTTGGGGCATTTACTCCTTGCGCTCTTTGGGACCTCTTAAAGTTTAACTGTGTATTTTAATGTCTATGTTTATAGCTTAAGCTGCAGTGGGGCGGAACAGACTGCCTGAGTTTGCATCCTTGATCCACCAAAGTGTAGCATTCATTAAGTTATGTGAACTCTATGAACCTTAATCTACTTATACAAAGTAAGGGCAGCAATATTATTTATCTCAAAGGAAATTTGTGAGAATAATGTGTGTTAATGTAAGTACCCAAAAGCATTATCTGTTGTGTAATACATATTCTCTATTCCATTTGGTAGTATACTGTATTCCAACTAATATTTAGATCTTATAAATAATATTTTGCTTGTAATATCTCTGAACTTAAGAACTCTCTTCGGATTGATGACATGTCTGAGTTCAGATGGCATCACCTTTTTTTTTTCCAGTTGTATATGGAGTAATGGTGCTCCTTACAATTAATCAGAGGTTTGATGAAGTATCATATCGGTATGATTTCTGCCCCCTGATAAAAGGACAGCTTCCAAGAATATATTCAGACCTCACATCCTCCTGAGGCTTCTGCCCTTTAACCATTACAAACAAAAGGCAGGGACCAGCATAATGGCTCAGTGGCTAAATCCTCAGCTTGCACATGCCTGGATCTCATATGAATACCGATTTACGTCCCAGCTGCTCTACTTCCCATCCAGCTCCCTACTTGTGGCCTGGGAAAGCAGTGGAGGATGGCCCAAAGCCTTGGGATCCTGCTCCCAGAAGAAGTTCCTGGCTCCTGACTTTGAATTAGCTAAGCTATAGTCATTGTGGTGATCTAGGGAATGAACCAGCAGATGAAAGATCTTTGTCTCTGTCTCTCGTTCTCTCTGCAAATCTGCCTTTCCAATAAAAATAAATAAATCTTCAAAAATAAAAATGTCAGATTGAATCCGCTTGATGCCTCTTCTACTAATTTCTACAACAGAGTAAGCAGAGGGCCTGGCACAGTAACTTAGTGGCTAAAGTCCTCACCTTGCATGTGCCAGAATCCCAGTGGCCCCACTTCCCATCCAGCTCCCTGCTTGTGGCCTGGGAAAGCAGTTAAGGATGGCATAAAGCCTTGGGACCCTGTACCCGCATGGGAGACCCAGAGGAAGCTCCAGGCTCCTGACTTTGGGTTGGCTCAGCTCTGGCCGTTGAGGGCACTTGGGGAGTAAATTAGTGGATGGAAGATCTTCCTCTCTGTCTCTTCTCATCTTTGTATATCTGACTTTTCAATAAAAAATAAATCTTAAAAAAAAGTCAGCAGAGCACTCTCATCTCTGATAGGGTATCTGTTCTTCATGAACATATCCATTTCCATGCCTGTGCACATAGTTTTAAAGCAATTTTGCTTTATTTATTTGAAAAGCAGAGAAAAAGAGAGAAGAGAGGGAGGGGGAGAGAGAGAGAGAAAAAAAGGGAAGAAGAGAACAAGAAAGAGAGATTTTCTGTCAACTGGTTCACTCCCCAAATGGCCACAATGGCAGGCCTGGACCGGGCCAAAGCCGAAAGTCTGGAGCTCCATCTGAGTCTGCCTTGTGTGGGTAACAGGGCCTCAGCATCTAGGCCTTCTGCACTGATTTGACAGATGCATTGTCAGGAAGATGGATTAATAGTGGAGCAGCTAGGATGCAGAAACAGTGCTTGAACTGGAGATGTAGATGTCGCAAGTGCTGGTTTAACTTTCTATACCACAATGATAGCAGCTACACATGTTTTCATCTATTCAAAGTGTTATCCAAACAGCTTCTCTGCCTTCCAATCTCTTCCTCTCTGAGGCAGTTTTCCCCAGGCTCTTAAGGCCCCCTCCAGTGCGAGTGCTCTTGGACACACACACAGAGAATGTATGATTGTCCATTTGTCTGTACCATCCTATTTACTGTGAGCTTCTGAGGGTTGGGAAACTTTCCCTCCATTCGCTCTTGTCTACTGGTACAGAACATAGACCCAGTACACATTACCTTGTTAGACATCGAGCAGAGGAAGTCAAGTAAGTGTTTAGTGAGAGAGAGAATGAATTCATGGTCTGGCTTTCCCTTTAGCACATTCTCACTTTAGACCCACAATGCTGCCCTTAGCATCTTTTCTTTCTCATGTGTCCCCTAACACTTGTTTCTGTTATTTCTAGAATCCAAACTAGACCACATGAGGAAGGACATTTTTGCACAGGTGCAGAATGAGTGCTGGAGCCGCAGTCAGCAACTCATGACAGAGCTCACAAATTTCATACAGGTCTTCCAAACCATCAACTCCGACATTCACACCATTGCACAGTGCTCCCAAAAGGTGGGTTGTCCTCACCAATCCCTCCCAGCTTATCCAGGGCCAATCCTACCCAGAAGCTCAGAACATTGTCTTCAGATTTCTGTCCAGCTCTCAATGGGACTGGATGCTCTTAAGCTGTGTTCACATAAGTGATTCGCCCTTTTAAATTCCTGCCCTGTTCATATGGCCCCCAGTTTCTTCATCCAGCAGGGTGTCAGGGGAGGAGAGTTGATATGATGGGAGAGATAGAGTCCTCCTTTGCAAGATGTGGTTTTCCTGTTGGTGACAGACAGGTTAGATTGACACATCTTCAGGATAATATTCTGGCCAGTGAGTACTAGATCTTCTTTTTTTTTAAAAAAAAAAAAAAAGGCAGGACCAGAGGGGGAGCCACTCCTAGTTTGATCCTGATCTTAGCTAGTTAAAATGCTGTAGCTGGGCTCAGTGCAATAGCCTAGTTGCTAAATCCTCACTTTATATGCACCAGGATCCCATATGGGTGCCGGTTCATATTCTAGCTGCTCCACTTCCCATCCAGCTCCCAGTTTGTGTCCCGGTAGAGCAGTAGAGGATGGACCAGAACCTTGTGGAAAAACCTGGAAGAAACTCCTGGCTCCTGGCTTCGGATCGGCTCAGCTCTCAGCATTGCATTCACTTGGGGAGTGAACCAGTGGATGGAAAATCTTTGTCTCTTCTCTGTAAATCTGCCTTTCAAATAAAAATAAAGAAACCTTAAGAAAAAAAAAAAAAACCCAGCAGCAACAACAACGAAAACGCTGTAGCTGGGTCTGGACCCTCAGTTCCAGAAGGGAGGCACTGCCCTTAAGGGATAACACCAGAGAGATGTGCTAGGTTGTCAGGGTGCTGTTCTGCTTTGTCCCTGCAGCTGAATGAAGCCAATGAACAGTACGTTCACTTGGAGGAGCGAGTGGAATACATCCAGTCCCTCCATGAACTCATCCGCATCCACTTCAGCCTCTTTACTGCTGAGAGTGAGGCCCTGGAGAATTCGGTGAGAGGTCCATTCAGGGAATTGATCAGCCATCCCTGTCCCCTTGTTCTTACAGCTACATTTATTCTGCTGCCTTCTGCTTTCTCCACAGCTTCTAAGTGTGTGGGAGTCATTTCAGTCTGAAAAAAGCCAGGCCTCAGAGTTCCTGCTTAGCAAGCGACATGTCATTGTGCCCAAGCTGCAGCAGCTGATGGCTGCAGCGCTGGCAGAGCTGGAGAACCTGATTGAAAAAGCTTTGTCTGGTCCTTTCATGGACCCTACGCAAGAGCAGAGGAGCACTGAACGGCAGCTCATCGCCCTGGAACGTCGATTCCAGAGCACCGTCAGTCATCTCAATGAACTGCACTACGCCTACACCGCCTTCACTGGTACCAGACCACTGCCCTCTCCACCATCCTCCGGTGGTAGATGCTCCCACTGAGGTTCTGCTTGGAACTGTGTTCTCACACAATCCTAAACAAGTTTTAGGACTATAATGCCTCTGTTGGTCTCTTAAAAAAGCAGATTGTAAGTCAACGTCTTCATATACTGGATATGTCAGATATTGTGCTTAGGATAAAGGCTGTGTTTAGGACAAAGGTGGAGGGATTTCTCAGTGCAGGAAGAAAGGCAAGTAGTGGATGTTTCATTAGAATATGATGGAGTCAGGGGTTAAAAGCTGTGCAAGGGAAAGGTAAGGATGCCCTCATATAGAACTTAATCTTTATGTTGCTCTGTTCAGTACAGTACTATACCAGGCAAAAACCCCAAACAAGAGTAGAGCTCAGTGCCCCAGCAGCCACTGTCTCTAGTCAATGAGGAGTAAAGAGGGCTCTGAGGGGCTCACTGCACCTCAGGAAGAGGCCAGGACTGTTGATCTGAGCTCTTGTGTACAGTAGCATAGCTAGCCTGGTTCCCTTACTTCACGTAAACAGCTTAGTAAGCTCAAGTTTCTTTTCTCAAATGTCATCACATTGTATCTGAATTGCCCTTTGGCCAAATACCAACTACTGCCATCTGCCTGTGGATGTTGCCAATCCCAGGACCATTTTACTGGATGGCTAGGTGGAATGGAAACTGGATCTGTTTTCATGTCAAGATTTCTCTCTCTCTCTCTCTCTTTTTTTTTTTTTTTGTTGTTGTTGTTGATACCTTAAGGAACATGAACCATAGACTTGGGCTTTCCTACAAGGGGTTGGCAATGTTTGTGATAGCCAGAGGAAGGAAGTTGCACCACATGGTTGTAGGCTTCCAGTATTGATCTTCCCTCCTTCCTCCATCCCTATCTCCTTAGCAAACCCCCAGATTTTGTTAACGTTATCAGGGATTTTAGATCCAAATGACTAATTACTGTGCCTTATTTTTCATTGTATATCTTCTGTTTTACTCTTTAGTTTTACATTTGCTTTATTTTATAATCATGTTAGCAACTAATTTGATATATGAGGTGTACCAGTTGTTTATTTACAACCATTTTCTCAAGTACGTGCTTTCACTATTTTTATTCCTTATTCAAATAGCTAGAGTATTTCTTTGAGTACTTTATTTTCTAAGAGGGAGTTAGAGGTGTTACCATCTTAGAGCTTTCTAACGTCTTTATATCTGAGTATTGAATTCTGGAGACACACTTTTTTCTATTGTATCATTTTTTCTAATACTTAGCACTTTGGACAAGACTAAAATCAAATTTTTTTCTTTTCTAGTTAATCTTACCCACTGTTTGATAGTGACTTTTATGTATTCTCTGTTCTTCTTCCAGTATTCTGACATGAACTATAGATTCACTGGGTTTTCTCTCAACTTTTTTTGTCTTCTCTATCATCGCTCGTGTTTTCCCCTCAAAGTTCTGGAAAAGAATCTGTAGCTTGTCTAACAAGCTTCCATTTTCTATGGTATTTACTCTGGCATTTTTCCATTGTGTTTTAAGGCATGTGTGTATGCCTGGAAATATACATTTATGTATACATTTGCAAGCATCTCTCTCTCTCTCTCTCCTGAAGAGGGTAAGTAGTAACAGTGTTGTTGCATATCAGGCTAGGCCTCTGCCTGCAATGCGGACATTCCCTGTGGATGCTGGTTTGAGTCATGGCTGCTTCACTTCCCATCCAGCTTCCTGCTGGTGTGCCTGAGGAGGCGGGCAGTGGAGGATAGCCTAACTGCTTGGACTCCTGCATCCGTGGAAAGACCTCAAAAGAGGCTCCAATCTCTTGGCTTGGCCTGACCCAGCCCTGGCCATTGCAGCTGTTTAGGAAGTGAACCAGCAGGTGGAAGAGTCTCTCTCTCAATTTCTCCTCCTCTCTCTGTAGTTCTGTTTTTCAAAAAATGAAAATCGGGCCCGGCGCGGTGGCGCAAGTGGTTAAGTCCTCCCCTTGCATGCCCGGGATCCCATATGGGCGCCGGTTCTAATCCCGGCAGCCCCGCTTCCCTTCCAGCTCCCTGCCTGTGGCCTGGGAAGGCAGTCGAGGACGGCCCAAGGCTTTGGGACCCTGCACCCATGTGGGAGACCCGGAAGAGGCTCCTGGCTTCGGATTGGCATAGCATCGGCCCATTGTGCTCACTTGGGGAGTGAATCATCGGACGGAAGATCTTCCTCTCTGTCTCTCCTCTCTGTATATCTGCCTTTCCAATAGAAAATAGTAAAAATAAATCTTTAAAAAAAATGAAAATCTTTTTAAAAAATTAAAGAGACAAGAAGCAAAAATATCCCCAGTAGCAAGAAGCCACATAAAAAAGAGAGAGGGGTAAGAGACTCATTTTTGTTTGAAAAGCTGAGTTACAGAGACAAGAGATGGAGAGAGAGGGATATACTATCTGTTGGTTCACTCCCCAAATTACCTCAGTGGCTGGATCTGAGACAATCCAAATGTGGGATCCAGGAGCCACCTCCAGGTCTCCCACAAAGGTGTATGGGTCCAAAGACTCAGACGTTCCTCTGATGATTTACCAGGTCATAAGCAGGGAGCTGGATCAGAAGTGGAGCAGCTGGGACACAAACGAGTGCCCGTATGGGATGCTGACATTGCAAGTAGAGGATTTGTGTGCAACACCACCACACTGGCCCCAGCAATAAGCCACATTAAGCTCAGATCATGGTTTCTAGACCATTTCTTAGTACAAGGAACCAAAATTCCTCTGATAAATGGATGCTGCTAGAGCTGTGGTAAAGTAAGTGCAAGATGAGTCAAGAGGTTTCTTCTTTAATGCCAGAAAGTAAAGGAATATTAATCTTTAAAAGATGAAAGAAGTATGTCACAAGGATATGTAAGGAATGGTAACTGGCCAAATCTAGGATAACTTGAATACCAAGGTAGGTGCGGTTAAAAAAAAAATAAAGAAACAAACAAAGGAAAAAATTCCAACCAGGAATTTATCAGCCATAGTAATAATAAAAAAATAAATTAATAAGAGAGAAGTGAAAACTTGTGCTTTCAGTGGAATGCCAAGGGCTGAATGTTAAATGTAGGGGGAGGGATGAAGAGAAAAAGTTTTTTTATAGCCATCATAGTAAATTTTGGATCAGGTCCAAACTTTGAATCAGGTCAAAATCACCAATACATGGAACAAACTTAGTGAGGAGCAGAATGTTGGTGCTATCCGGGACAATCTTTCTTTAGAAATTACTTCTTAGTTACAAGGAAGCAAAAAAAGACATCAGTTAGCTAGTGGGAAAATCAGACCAGGTAATCAAAATTAACGTCACTCAAGAGACTAGACTGGAATTCAGGTGAATGAAAATGACAGGCATATAGTAATATCCTTGAATGTGGCCTGATATTTTGGGACTGGTGCAATGGTTCAGTACATGTGCTAGGATTCCATATGAGTTCACGCCCCAGCCACACCGCTTCCCATCCAGCTCCCTGATTGTGGCCTGGGAAAGCAGAAGAGGATGGCCTGAAGCCTTGGGACTCTTCAGCCATTGTGGCCACTTGAGGAGTGAACCAGCAGACAGACGATATTTCTCTATATATCTTCTCTCTGTAGATCTGCCATTCCAATAAAAATAAATAGATCTTTTTAAAAATTTAGCTTTTGGAAAAAGATTTCTTTATTTAAAAGGCAAAGTTACAGAGAGGTAGACAGAGAGAGAGCTTCCTTCCACTAGTTCATTCCCCAGATGGCTGGAATGAGGCAGAGGCTGGGCTAGGCCAAGGTCAAGACCCAGGAACCCCATCTGGGTCATCTCCCATGTTAGTGCAGGGGCCCAAGCAGTGAGTCGTCTTCCACTGTTTTCCCAAGTACTTTAACAGGGAGCTGAGCCCAGGTCTCAGTCAGGTTTGTTTCATAGGGGATGAGAAGCCTTTACCTTTGCCCATTTGTGGGACCCGTCCAATCGTGCAGCAGCAGCGCATCTGGCACCTGTACCGGGTCATCTCTGAGAATATCAGTGAGTGGAAGTGCATGGCTTTTGCTAAGGTACTGGTAAACTTCATTGGAGCTCTTTCCTGGGGGTGGGGGATTGCGGAGGGGGAGGGGAGGAAGGATCTCAAGCTGACAGTGGACCCTTTGCCCTGCAGTTCAATCTGGCGATGGCCCAGGAGAAGACAGAAGGCTGGCTGACAGAGGCAGCACGGATGAGCACAACCCTGGGGATGCACAGCCCAGTGCTGCAGCGCTGCATGCGCATGCTGGAAGAGTTTCGCAGCTACCTGCCACTGCTCCTCAAGCTGAGCAGCCTCCCACTGCAGAGCATCAGCTACCAATCCCTTCTCCGAGGTGTGTTTGCCGAGAGTCAGAGAGGAAGGGAAGGGGAAGGACAGCTCCATTCCCAACTACCGCTGGAAACACTCTCCCTTCTGGTTGTTCCTTCCCCTTCCCCACATGCCATAACTTTCTCCCACAGGGACCAGCCTTTTTCATCTCTGTGTCAGGTCTTCTCTGCTGTTAGGGGCTGGACTTGAGCTGCATTCTCCAGCATCTGAGTTTTCAGTTGAGCATTCTGAGTTCTCAGCTTTGTGTTGTATTCTGACAACTGTAGTGTGAAGTCTGATTTAAGCTTGAATGGGCCCTGGGTCCTAGATTTGGGCTCTGGGCTCCAGGGGGAACTGAGCTCTGGAATATGGGCTGGACTGTCATGCAAACAACATGTTATTCTGACTTGTCTGTTCTACCTCCAGCATTGGGACTGGGCAGCGTCCAGAGTATGGAACTCATTACATTGGGCCAGTTGCTCTCTTGTCCATTGCTGGAATATACAGATCGAATTTATCAGGTGGGACTGATAGAAGGTAGGGAAGGGTAGAAGGAGGAAGAGGGGGCCATGCCTATGACTGATAATAAAACCAGGCCCAGGAGTTCCTTGAATTAAGGAGGCAGTGGATATTGGCATGTGAGAAAATGAGGGTGTGACATTGCAGACTGGGGGGTAGGACCTGTCTCCTTAAGTCTCCAGTAAAGAATGATGAGTGGTTCCAGACTCTGTAATTAAGATAATACCCCTCCCCAGCGCCCCAGGGAAGATGAAGAATAGCGGTCTCACAGTGTGAGCACACAATGATCCTTGTCCCTAACACTCACTCTGTCCCAAAAAACCACATGCTGACTTTTGAACTAATGTCTTGCAAAAAAGGATGGTCTCAAGGCGGAGGCTTTAGTTAGATGCTGCTGATGTGAACTGTATGGATCCTGATGATCTCATTGCCCTTCTTCTCGGACACCTCCGCTCCCCTGAGCCATGGCCCTGGACATCTATCTCAGACTCAGCATCCAAGCTTCAGCTCCTAAGTTATCTCCTGGGCCATTACTCAGCCCTGGTTGCTGAGACCCAGCTATTCCAGGTATGGCAAACTGAAAATGAACGAATTCAAGCCCAAGAGAGCCTACAGCGGGTACAGCGCCACTGGGAAACGCGCCAGCTACGCCTTCTCAACTTCATCCTGCATGTGCCCTACAAGCCCCCAGTCTCAGAGCACTCCAAGAGGCAGGCGGTCTACAGTTCCCAGTTGGAGGTCATGGACAAGGATAGTGGCACCTTTGTCCTGTCAGGTGAGATCCCGCCCTTGTGACCCAGTGAACACCCCATAGTAGTGGCCATTTTTATGCATCACCTCCACCAAGCCCTGAAGTGTTTTCCATGAGTTCCTTAACCTCAGAAGCCTGCCCCATACAAACCCCACTCTTCCCACCCAATATCTACCTCTTCCAGTCAAGGTCTTTCCCTTCCTGGTTGTCCTCAGAAATTCCTCTTAGTCCCTTCTCTCTACCTTTCCATACTCTGTCTTCTATAATGCCCTGTGCTGTCTGATTTTATGCATTATTCATTCATTTATTTATTCTCTCCTGAAATTCACCGTCCCTGCCTCTTCTGTACCAAATACAAGAGACCATGAGTTTTATAGGCACCGATCCTGACCAGTGAGGGACAGAAAGTAGTGTATGTGAATGTTGGAATACTTTAATGAGGGTAGGAGAAGTAGCTCAAGGAACCAGGGAGAATCAGAGAAACCTTTTTGGCAGAGGCCTCATGCTGACTACATAGGTAGAAGTTTGCCTTGCTTGCAAGGTAAGATGGACATGCCAGACAGAAAACAGCACACTTGTATGTACAACCGTCCAAGACAATAAGGTTGGGGACTCAATAACAGAGAAGAAAGTGTCTTGTGTGACACAGAAATCAAAGCAATGAGTCCAAGGATAGTAAATAATAAAATCACAAAAGTTGATGCATATATAGCCCCAAATTTTATTTTAGATTAAACCATAAGCATATACATTTATTTGTTAAATTGTTAAACTAAGAATAAGAGTTCTTTGATTTGGGGTCCATTAATAGTTCCTCTTTGCCTTTCTTGTGTTAATGCAGCATCTGTTATTTCTACTTGGACTCTTTGCAAAGTTGGACAGCAACACAGACACATGTAAAGTTACCTGGGGCCAGAAATGTTCTCCACTTTTTTAAAGTTTCATTTATTTTTATTTGAAAAACAGATTTATAGAGAGAAGGAGAGATAGAGAACGAACTTCCATTTTTTGATTCACTCCCCAAATGGCCACCATAGCCAAAGCTGAGCGAATCCAAAGCCGAGAGCCAAGAGCTTCCATCTGAGTTTCACACATGGGTGCAGGGACTGAAGGCTTTGGGCCATTCTCTTTTGCTTTCCCAGTACATAAGCAGGGAGCTGGATCAGAAGTAGAGTAGCCAGGAGCCAAACCAGTGCTCATTGAATACATGGGCCCTGCACGTGGAGGATTAGCCTGGTGAACTACCTCGCCAACCCCTCAAATTTTATTTACTATTTTTTTAAGTTGACTTTCCTAAACCTAATAGCATATTTTTATCAGCTCACCTTTATCAAAACCCTGCATAGTTGTCATAGAAACAGCAATCCTTGTCTCTTATTTCAATGGTTAATACAATATTAGATTAATTTCTGTACAATTATAACTCATATAAATTGATTTTCAAACACACTGTGTCTTTTGTGGGCACATAATTCAACTCATAGAAGCTAAATGTTTCTGTCAGTGGGTTTGAGTTTTTTGGGCATTAGTCTGTTTTATGGTAAGAATGAAGAGCTTTTACTAAAAGAACTCAGTTTGCTGTAGCTCAAGCCCAGAGAGTAATGGAAGAGGAATTGGTGTAAATGAAGCTGTAGAGATGAGAACATGGGATGTCTTCTGTGCTTAATTAGGAATTTACTCAATGACATGAAAACAGTGGATAGCCTTGACATGTTTTCTAAGGAGATGGATGACACCAGATTTTCATTAACTCTATCACCTTGGTTTCAATATGGAGATAGATTGAAGGGAGACAAAGAATGGGAACTGGAAGGTCAGTTAAGAGATAGTGTAATGCGAATGAAAAGTCACAGTGTCCTAGACTAGGATGATAACATTGGGGGAAAGAAAAAAGTGGGTGGACACACACTACGTACAAGCTGCATAGGAGTCCAACTGAGCAAGATGTGCAACTGGTTCATCTTCTGCTGGGAGGAGAATGTGTGTCCTTTGTATGCTGGCATGGTTAGTCCTTACCTCACAAACTCTTCATGTTTTTCACCTTTTGTCGGGTTCAATATTTTGTTAAGGATGCCTTCCCCGAGCATTTGGAACACATTGATAAATGGCACCCAGACTCCTTACTCATTTCTCTCTAATTAAGGATTCCTAAGATTTCTTCTGATGTTGACTGACAGATACAAATCTGAATGTCTTTGGTTAACATTTCACCATAACCCAAAACTCAATATCTTCCCACATTTTTATGAGCACAGTTTAGGCAGTTCCTTTTGGCCATCTCTAACCCTATTTCTGTTGGTTTTTTTTTTTTTTCAGAATTGCTTCTAATTAACTTTCAACACTTTTCTACACCGTATTCAGATTCATCTTCTTCTAAAAGTAACACGTATGAATTCATAGTGCAGAGAACAGGTCCCAGACAGTTTTTGCTGTCTTTGGGCATAACTTCATCCACCAGTCTGGATCCTCCACGTCTTTACTGACGTGTTCACAGTTCTTCCCCACCTTCGCTCCCTTCCAGTTTTCCCTTCTGCCTTCAAGCTGACATTTGCACCAACCACATGTATGATAGGGATTCTCCCTCTGGGTTCTCTCTTTTCTCTGTACCGAACTTTTTTTTTTTTTTTGTCAAATTCAGGCATGTTAGCCAAAGACTGCATTTTGTGGCAGCCATACACCATGAACTCAGTGGCTTTGTCTACCAGATGAGCCCAAGATGATAAAACTTCTTATGTATTTACTTTTTGCCCCAGGAGGGCAGGTTTCTGCCGAAATGAAGATATCTACTGATCATTAATTGTCCCTCTTAGATTCTTAATCAAATCAGAACGAGGAGATAGATGAAGAGAAAAATACACTATCATAGTTATTATCTCCAAGAAACTGTGCTTGAAGAGACTATGGTGTCAGTTTGGAGTTAGATCAAGCATCCAGTGAGACCTCGCAATAACTCTTCACAGCCTCCCCCCCAAATCAGTTTAGATCTTGAAATCTGTGTGGATATGCAGAAGAAATTTAAAGTGTACTTACCTAGAGAACTGTGTGGAGAACTATTGCTTGCTTCACACTTCTTAGAGCAAAAGAGATGGGTCTTTTACCTCCTTTCTTGGGGAGGAGCAAGTAAAGGGGTTAGACAGAGGAACTGAAAATATTTCTCCAACACTGTTTCTTTAGAGAAGTTCTTTCTTTCCGAAGACAAAGCATTGAGAATTTTCTGCACAGCAGGATTCTTTTTTCTCTCATTTCCACCCTAATTAATGTTCCTACTTCACTTTCAGTCCTAGCCTCCCGTAGCGTGGTGGAACACATCTTGAAGCAGCACCAGGGAGCCAACTGATGTGACCATTAGAGAAAATGTGAATCTCAGCTTTCCTACCAGGAGATACTTTCATTCCATAATGAGCATCCTTGTTACAGAAATATTTTAAAGGCACCTGGAGTCACTGGATCTTCTGCCCAGGCTGGTGGTTGTGGCTCTTCAAAGAATACATGTGGCACTAAGTGGATGCTTAGCATCTAGCTGGAGAAATCAGCTGACCATAAGCCCTCCTCATAACTACTTCTTTTTGACACCACTGTGCTCTCCTGGTTATACTTTGTTTTCCAGTACAGTCCTCAATGACAGAAAGGGAATTGGGATCATGGTGTAATTGCCTCCCCTGGAAAATCACCCTGGCATGTTCTTTTCTTTCCTGGTCCCTGCCCTTGTCCCATCTGATGGCCAACTCAACCTTTTCTTCCTTAGGCTACAGAAGCCTACAGGATTCCATCCAAGAATGTCTCCAGACATTGCTCAACATCCTGGCCACCCAAAAGTCAGGAGACTTACACAGAATGGCTTTGGAGTGGCTGACCAACATGCATAACTTGGGTGAGTGCAGGCTTGTGACTTGGCTGGACCCTGAGGCAGGTTGGCCCAGAGGGAATGAGATCTGGGGAGTAAGAGGTAAAAGTTAAGTGGACCAAGATATGAACGATAGAATGAGGACCTCCTTCAGAACTGTTTCTTGGGATGAGGTGGCCACATCTTTATTTAAAGTGAAAGTTTTATTTCCCCTAACAAAGTCTCTGGGTCTTGCTGATTTTTGGTTGGACAGGTGGGGTACCTGAGAGGGCAGAAGCAGAATTATTTCACCCATACCCCATGCACCCCCCAACCCCACCACATGACCACCAT